GTCTCAAAACAAAAAAATCTCAACAATCCTTCACAATACAACAACTAAGTTGGAATAAAGAGGGAACTTTTCTAGCATAGTTAAGACTATAAACGAAAACGCCATGGTTCACATCAACCCAATGCTGAAAGAGGAAAAGCTTTCCTCCTCAAATCAGGGAACAGGCAAGGGTGCCCACTCTCCTCACTTCCATTCAGAACTATACTCAAAGTCCTCACCAAAACTATTAGGTAAGAAAAAGAAACTAAAGGTATCGAAATTTAAAAATGAGCAAAATTATCTTTGTTCACAGATAGCTGGATCCTGCATATATAAATTCCTAAAGATGTTACATTCTTTAAAAAAAGTCCCCAAATGGTTAAAGCTAATAACTGAATTTGGTAAGGTATTATGCACACAATTTGTTTTGTTTCTATGTTTTTGCAATAAAGAATACAGAAAAGAAATTAGGCTTCAAAAAGAAGCTGGACAAGCCGGGCGGTGGTGGCGCACGCCTTTCATCCCAGCACTCGGGAGGCAGAGGCAGGCGGATCTCTGTGAGTTCGAGGCCGGGCTGGACCGATAGCCTCCAAAACAATACAGAGAAACCCTGTCTCATAAAAACCGAAAAAGAAAAACAAAAAACAAAAAGAAGCTGGACATGGTAGTACATACCTTAATTCCAGCAGTTAGGTGGTTAAGGCAGAAGATTGTGAACTTAAGGCTAGCTTAGGCTATATTATAAAAAAGAATACTTAGGAATCAACAGTTGAGGAGACACACTAAAATGAAAAACTTCAACATGTAACTACATAAAATGAAGCCATGTAACCAAGTCAACAATGATTTTGAGTGTTGGAGCAAGAGCTTAGTGGATGAGAGTTCTTACAGTGCTATCATGAGGTCTAGAGTACAGATCCTAACATCCATGCAAACAAGTTGAAACCATGTTATTAATCTAATATTAATTTGATAATTTTATTTTGTATATCCTCTAATCTATCACTCCTACTTCTAAGAACTTATACTACCAAAGAACTATTTTTATATAAAAAAGGATATTGCTGAATAAAAGTCACTGATCATCTTTGTTAATTAAATGTTTTGATGTTGTTTTATCTTTGTTTTATTGACAGGGTCTTGGTAGGAAGCCTTGCCTGGCCTGGAACTAACTATGTAGACCAGGTGGGTCTATAGAGATCTATCTGCCTGCCTCTACTTTCCAAGTGCTAGGGTTACCAATCTTTAGAATTTTAAACCATGCTTTTAAAACACTAGAGAACGTTTTAAAAAATTAAAGAGTATATGAAATAGCATACATTTATAGGAAGACTGTGCTTTCTGAATATAAATTTCTATGTCTGAATTATTTGTTTTTTTAAAACAGAAATCACTACAAAGAACAAAAGCTCTCCCTCATAGGCACACTTCAGTATGTTCTCCTTGGTTAGGCCGAGTCTGAGAGGCTAACTTACCCTGATTGCTTTCAGTCCATTTGATATTTTGTTTTCTTCAACAACCGCAATAACTTCCTGTCCAACATTCAGAAGCACTTTGCTAGTCACGGCATCATTGGAAAAGTAGATCAAATCATCAATCATGCCATAATCACTGCAATATCTTGTCACAACACCCTGCACAGTTTTCAACCTGGTATCACCTAGGACAAGTGAGCAAAGAGGTTATATTAATAACAAAAGATAATCCTAGTGCCAGAGAGAATGGCTCAGTAACTTACAGTACTTGTTCTTCTTCCAGAGGACCCAAGTTCAGTTCCTAGTACTCACAGTAGGGGTGGAGTGTGTGTGTTGTGTGTGATAACTATAGGAGGGAGGGAGGGAGGGAGGGAGGGAGGGAGGGAGGGAGGGAGGGAGGGAGGGAGGGAGGGAGAGAGAGAGAGAGAGAGAGAGAGAGAGAGAGAGAGAGAGAGAGAGAGAGAGAACCATCTGTAGCCCTGAGGATCTGATATATCTGGCTCTGTAGGTACCACACACACAGAGTACTCTCTTGTACGGGCTCTGTCTGTTTGTCTGTCTGTCTCTTTGTCTCTCTCTCATGTGCACAATTAAAAAAGCAGTAAAATCCCACAATTAAACTCTACTGAGAAAGGCAAGGCATGGACATTCATGGGGAGAGGAACTTAATTGGCTGGGTTTGAGAACTGGAGAAGCTGCCACTGAGTTGTGTTCGAAAGAGTGATTTTGAAACAGAATCCTAGGTTCTGAGGGGTACAGGTAGTGAAGTTGGTGGGAAGAGCTTTGACTCCAAAGCCAGACTGCCTGGCTTGACTCTAGCTCTTTTGTCATGTGTAAGTAACCCTGAATGTTGTCCTTAACCATTATACATCATCCCCAGAGCTTCTATCCCTGTTTATCTTGTAAGTATATTTAATAAAATATATCAGACCTCTTTTTCAGATAGCATTATTTCCATCTTCATTTTGGTGTCAGAAGCGTTTACCCAGCCCCCAAAACTCGGAGACAAGATCCAGGCAACCTCACTGCCGCCTGCCTGGCACACGGTGCCACGGCTGTGCCAAAGAACTCCAGCCCTTGGAACGCAGTTCACGGTACCCACCTCCCATTGCTGGCAGGACGGGAACTCACAGCCTTTACACCTGTTAGTGTTCATTTTCAATTATTTTAGGGTTGGGCTTGGAAGGAGGTGTTCAGACTTGGGCACCCCTTTCAGATAAGTTTATGATTTAGATGAGATAGATATGCTTAGTTTAGGATATAAGTAGATTATAACTTGCTTATCATCTTCTATGTATATATGTTGTATAGATTCAAGTTTTTGTACCAAGTTTAAATCTTTTATTTAGACTAAGGGGAGTTGTAGGGGTGAACCCCACAAAGCTATCCACCCTAAGGGCAGGGATAAGGAAATTCAGGACAGGTGAAGATAAAAAAGTGAAAGAGAAACGAATCCTTATTATTTTCTCTTCCTCTGGAAGCCTGCCACGCTTCTGACTCCCCAGCCCTTATAAGTTCTTATTCTGGTAAATAAATGTATTATATTCTATATTGCATTGACCTCCCTCAACAATACATGTCAGTTACCACCTATAAATGAAGTCAGCAGCTATCACTACATGACAGCTGGATGATTAAGTAACAGAACGCACGTGTAATGTGTACACTTTTGAGTGGTAGGCACAGCTAGGGTGCCCTGTGTGTTACTAGGCTTATATGGGCATCTGAGGAGTCCTAGACATGGACTATTTGTTACCACCTTATCAACCATCATAGCTACAATCTTGAGAGTGAGGTTCCAAACACATCACTGAGGGCACAGGAAAGAGCCATCTACTTCAAGGGAAGTAGAGAAATGTGGCCGCTCAGGGAGCTATCATGAACTGGAGCTGCAACCACCATGTTTGAGTTCTCATTACACTGTTCCTGTGATCAGATCAGATGACACCTGTGGGGACAGTACATCGTCACACTGGAGCCCAAGCTGTGGCCGAAAGCCACTACTCTTTACAGTGGCTCTCGACCTTCCTAATGCCTCGTCCCTTTTATACAGCTCCTCATGTTGTGGTGACCCCCCAACCGTAAAATTATTCTCATTGCTACTTAATAGCTGCAATTTTGGTACTGTTATGAACGATAATGTAAATATCTGGTATGTGACCTCTGACAGGGTCATGACCCACAGGCTGAGAATCACTGTTTTGGAAATATGACATCATTTCCCCAGGTTACACTTTGCATATTACATCTACATATAGAAGGCCTTTACTGTGCTGTGCTCAACAATTCCATTTTAAAAATGTTATTTCTAGCGTCTCTTACAGGCAATTCATTCCTTGAGGGGATGGAGAAAGCAATGGGGGAGACATTAGCCTGAGGTCCCATGCAAAAAATAAAAAAACAAAAACAAAACAAAAAATCCACAAAAAATAACAACCCTAGAGAGAAAGGCACAGTAACTTCGGCAGATGGGACTGCCTGGGAGGGTGCTCCTGCCAGAATTAGAAGTCTGGCGATGGTAAAGAATTCAAAGCGAATGATTCCATAGCTTTTCCAAAGGACAACTTGAGGCGGTGGGACTGCTTGCGGCTTCCAGACCTCTTGAGAGGTCAGAGGGAACAGAAACCAGGCAGAAATGTGGAAGAGACATCTGGTCACTTCGTGTGGCACAAAACCACTCACAGTGAGAGCAAAGGAGAATGAGGAAGCCAACGGTACTGATCCAAGAGTAACAAGGCACACATGCAAAAGCTTCTCCGAGTTTCTCCGAGAAAATGATAACTCGTTTGGTTTATAAAAGAAGTGAGGGGTGCCGGGCCTGAAGGCAAACATCTTTTAATCCAGCACTCGGGAGGCAGAGGAAGGCTTATCTCTGTGAGTTTGAGGCCAGCCTGGTCTACAGCGCGAGTTCCAGGACAGCCAGGGCTACACAGAGAAACCCTGTCTTAAAAAAACAAACAACAACAACAACAAAAAAAAAAACAAAAAGCAAAAAGTACCCCCCCCAAAAAAACAAACAACAAAAAAAGCAAGAAGCGAGGGCCAAGCTCATCTAAAGGAACCTGAGCACGACCCGGAGGGGTCGCAGCCCGCCCCACCTCACAGGCCTGTCAAAGGGCTTCCGGCTGAGTGCTCCTCGAGCCCTTACCTTCCGACAGCTCCTGCCCGGGCTGCCCGGCCTCCTCCTCAGGGATGTCCTCCCTCCTCCAGAAGAAGGACACCAGCTTGGCCGCTAGACGCAGCATGGCACCCACTCAGCTTCTCCCTCGGCCCCAGGCGCTGGCACGCCACAGCCCCGCCCATTCTATTAAGCATGCGCCCCCTCGTAGAACTCAGCCAATAGGGTTGTTGTGTCTGCGCCTGCGCCTGCCTATCATAGGCCTCAGCCAATAGGATCCTTGCCTATGCCGTGAGCCACGACCGTTAGCAACGCGAGTTTGGCGGTTAGCACGTGAAGGAGCCCGGGATTCCTCGTGGAGGTGACTGGAGGCCTGGCATGCGCAGTGTCCTGACAAGGCGGGGCGGGACTTCGTGTCGGATGGGCGCGGCATGAAGCTCGGATGGGCATTTCTGCTTAGTCTATTTACATGGAAGCCAGGAGGTGGTGGCACGTCTTTAATCCCAACATTCGGGAGGGAGAGCCAGGCGGATCTCTGTGAGTTCGAGGCCAACCTGGTCTACAAAGCGAGTTCAAGACAGGACCGTTACACAGAGACACACCCCCCCCTTTGCAAAACAAACAAAACAACAAAACCCAGAAAGTTTTTATTCTGCTGTTACTGGGTATTTTTTGTTTTGGGATTTTTTTTTCAGGCATGTTGACAATATATGACTATTTAGAGAGTTTCTGCTACTGATCTAATTTAACTTGGTCAAATCTGGATGACTTCTGTTTTTAAAGTTTATCAGGGTATGGTGACCCACACCTTTGATCCCAGAACTTTGGGGGAAGAGGGAGGCAGATTTTTGTGAGTTCCAGGCCAATCTGGTTTACATAATTCTGGGCCTACCAGGATTACATAGTGAGACCCTGCCTCAAGATGAAATAAAACACAAACCTTATCAAGAGTTTCCCCACTATGTTTGTCTCCCGAGTCTCCTTCACTGTGTCATAAACAAGATGTATTCTGTTAGGGGTCTAGTTTAGTTCTAGATTATTATTTTTTATCTCTAATACGTGATCTGTCTATTTAACTTACACTCTTCTTGAGAGATGGGAGAAAGAAATTCATCCCTTAAACATTTAGGGGCCTGTCATAAAGGCTTCCTGTTGGGTGTGTTGCTAGGAATACACGGAAAAATGAACAAGGACCTGAGAATTTATAAGGTTGGGGTCATCTTTAGAGACAAGGGCTGGATAACCCAGTCAGGCTTCCTATAATGGCATGTGGTAGCAATTACTGCTTTTCAGAACTGTGGATGCTGCCAGCCTGACCTGCCCTACATCAGTCTCTCCTACATTTCCATGCAGACACCCTACAGACATTGTGTCTGTCTGTACATCATATCTAAAAGAAAATGTGATATTGCTCCAAGACCCTTGCCCTGCCCATCTAAATGGCTCACAGTACTGATAGCAAATGGGGTGCATTGGCTCGTCCATGTCTATCTGGAATTTGGTCCCCTCTCATCATTTTGGGTCACACCTCCTCCCCATCTTCTTTCACCATCCAGCACCAGATGTCACCTTGCACAAGTCCACCTCAGGGTCAAAGTCAAGTGGCTCCCATGCACACAGGTGTCTTGTACCTGGATCGCCTCTGCATTCTATATCCCAGAATCCCTGTCTCACCCTCCTCCAGCCATGCTCCTGCCTGCTCCAAAGCCTTGAGACCTACCAGACCTCTGGCTTTTCTGCCTACCTTCTGTACCTTCAGTGCTATCCACTGTCTCCCTGAAGTCTGTTCATCCTCACACAGAGAAAGTCAAATCTGTTGCCGTATGACGCAGAAGAACCGTGGCCTGTAAATATTCAGTAGGCAGAGGGAAGAAGGGGAGTTGTTTGAATACTGTACTGAAAAACGGGACTCTTGTTCCAGAAACTGGTAGCAATGAAGACACACTTCCAAGTCACTGAAAGCTGGGAGTTGGGAGAGCTCAAGGAGCGCTTTCTTTCTCTCTGATTCATGGCAGCTTGTTTGTGTTTCTTAGTAGAAACACTTTTGAGAATCAGGAAAATGATGAAATTCACTCAACTTTTTTCCCCCAAAAAACACAGAGGAGTTCAATCCAGTTGGTCCAATTCCCATGAATTCTACTGATTTTAAAACTCAGTAAATTTGGGAGGTTTCTCAGCCCATTTGAAAGAAGTTCCAGATGTCTCAGGGAACAGTTTGGGTGAATTGTTTCTTGTTTGAATTTATTTTTGTTTTATGTGTATGGGCGTTTTGCATGCATGGATATGTACAAGTATGTGTCTTGTGTCTACACAGGCCAGAAGAGGGTGTTGGATCCCCTGAAACTAGAATTGTAGATGGTTGAGAAATGCCAGTAGGTGCTGGAGTTGTAAGCTACCATGTGGATGCTGGAAATTGAACCCAAGGTCCTCTGCAAGAGTAGCCAGTGCTTGTAACCTCTGAGCCATCTCTCCAACCCTGGGTAAACCTTTCCTAATTCTTCTGGTTTGGTTGAAAACCTAAGATAACTGAGCATCCCTGATTAGAAACCAGTGACCGAGCCCAGACTGCATGCGGTTCTGTGGTTCAAGGGCCTGTTTTTTCCAAGTACTCTCAACTGAGCCTTTTTGCAATGCTCACAAAGAAATTGTTGCTGTAATTGCCAGGGCGCCAATGTCTCCAGGCAAATGAAGCACATTCATGTCCCTTTTCTCTGCCTAGTGAGCAGAAATAAAGGGTGCAGTGGGACCATTCTTGCCAATCCTTGGGGCTACCATGGGAACCCGTGGTGGAATTCCCAGCAGTTCAGGGGCCAGCCTTGCCAAATCGAGAACATAAAGCTTTATGTGGCCTGATGAAGGAGATTTCCATCATGTGATAATGGGAGACAAGGAAAGACTGCTTAAAGAGATGTGTGATGTGACCTCGGAGTAGTTTTCTGTTCCAGGTCCAAGGTTGATCAAGATCCATATCCAGTGCTGCACTGTTCTTAGTGGTTCTTCGCTTTCCAAAACACCCTCCTGGCTAGTATGCGGTGAGTGGGACCAGAGGCTCTTCCTTTCCTCCTTGTGTTAGGAAAGCCCCAAGTCAGTGCTTATGCAACCAAGGCGGACATTTCTAGGATCCACTCCCTTAATCTCATTGAAATTCAGGAAGCTGTGTGCCTGCTCCTGGCTGAAGTGCAGTTTGGCTGAGCTTTTGTTCCACTTATGAATAGTTCTTGCTGGAAGTCCATCACCCAGAGGCCAGCTCTCCCAACAGCCGGACAACAGCAGAGGTAAGCATGAAGGCATTAAATTACAAAGTAGGTACATCTTTTGTAATCTTGCATTACCGCTTTGTGTTGACTAGGTGGAGTGCCCCCTCTGTTTGGGACTCATAAAGTTGCTGGTGGAAGTTGGAACGTACTACATTGAAAACTCAGATGTAATCTAAATATCCTGAGTCTAGATGGGTTTGGGTGATTTTTACTCACTTTGAGAATTGTTTATTCCTTTTTAGATTCATAGCCCTAGTGCATGAGCATATTTCTTTGTGTAAGAAAGAATTTGCTTAAGCCAGACATAGTAATGTTTATTTGTGCAGAAGTTTAAGGCCAGCCTGGGCCTCACAATGTGATACTTTGTCTCAAAAGAGAATTGTTAAGGGAATTTCTTGAAAATGATTCATTAGGACTGGAGGATTTTTTTTCAATTGTCAAAGTCCATGCTGATTTCATTGCATAGGAGGGAGTAGTGGTCTAAGTCTGTTCATGAGTCTCAAAGTGGCTATGTGTCACCCTCAGTAGCATGCCTGTTTCCAGTGCCATGACACGGGAGGGGCAGTTCAGGGAGGAGTTGGGCTATGACCGGATGCCCACACTGGAGAGAGGTCGGCAGGATACAGGACGGCAGGATGCGGGCAGCTACACCCCTGACTCAAAGCCGAAGGACCTGCAGCTGTCGAAGAGGCTGCCCCCATGCTTCAGCTACAAGACATGGGTATTCTCTGTGTTAATGGGGGTGAGTAGCTCAACACAGTTTCAGAGGACAGCAAGTACCTTCCAGTGCTGACCATGTTCTATAGAGTACAAGGCCCCCTAGACTGGAACACGATCTGTCTCAGGTGGGTCAGGCAGGAACAGCTCCCATGTTGGTGGGGTGTCTCTCGAGTGCCAACATTTTCTTTCGTTTTTATCCTTTCAGTTACTTTTCTCAATATCTGCTGGGAAGTGGGGGCTATACCCCTAAACCATACTTACCCTGGGCCCACAGCTCATCCATCAGCTAGGTGGCTGGCATGACCCTGTACTCCTGTACATGAATGGTCTGTGAAGGTTTGGAGGCCATCTCATATTTCAGGGTGGCTCTGTGGAGTGAATGACAAGAGATGTGGCCAAGGCTGGGGTCAGGACTATGGAACAGGAAGGCTACAGCAGTCATAAGAACTATGTGGGGAGGCCTATGGGGAACCATGGAGAGGGCTAAGTTGGGTGTGGCTAGAAAGCAGATCTAAGCTAGGCCAGAGTGGGCAGTGCCATATGGGACCCTAGGACATGTGAACACAGTCTTGCAGATAACCTGGGTGCTTAAAGTGTCATTTGACCCTGAGTGTGCACAGTAGCTGAGGACCAAGCCACTGCATACATTTTTTTCTATGTCTGGGGCTGAGTTTTGTGCAGCCCTGGTCTGAGATGGGGATTTCTCCCTTTCCACATCTCTAGACCTTTTTGCAGATTCCAATTTGGATCAGTTTCTGCAGAGGCAGTAATGCACTTGTTTGACAGGCTCTGAGCCTGGACCTGGGGTAGGATCCTGAATCTCCAGATGTTACCCCCCACCCCAACCCCCCCCAAAAAACACTGTGGCAGTTTCTGCTCTGGCATTAGAGCTGGGGAAGGGGAAGTCCATTCCTTGGGTTGTGTTGGTCCTGCCAAGAGGAGTTCCAGTCATACAGGACCCAGATTTAGGCAAAATAAATATGGGAGGGTGTTGGCTAATACGGGAAAAGTTGCAGTCAAAGGGTTGGGTGCTCCCTCCTCAGGGGTCTCATCACCAGACAGAGCCAGCTATAACCAGATTCTATGTCACTCTTTTGCAGAGCTGCCTTCTGGTGACTTCTGGATTTTCACTCTACTTGGGGAATGTGTTCCCCTCCGAGATGGATTATTTGCGCTGTGCAGCAGGCTCTGTAAGCATACCCCTCAGCCATACCAGCACCCTGATTCTCCCGTCGTGGGTTTGAGCCTCTATAACCTGGAGTTTATGGGTTTCTGCTAACTACTCGTGTGGCTAGTTTTAATAGTTTTGAAACTTACCAGTTCTGACTCCTATGTGGAAAACAGCACTTTTGATTCTGGTATGTTGTAGTGTCCTCCTGCTCTTGCTATACTGGGTGCCACTAAGGCCTCTGCCCTTGGAAGTCAGGAGGCCACACCTCCCAAATCCTGATGCCATGTTTCTAGAATCCATTGCCAAAGGAGGGAAGGAGAGAGCCACTAACACCCCCAGGCTGTGTCTCCTGACTCCCCAGTGTCTGGCTAGCTCAAGCACAGAGCATAATATCGTGTCTGGGTAAGTGTGTGGTAGCTGGGCTATGGTGACCTCTTCAGAACCACCCTGTCTTAGGATCTCTATTGTTGTAAAGAAACACCATGACCACAGAAACTGTTATGAAGGAAAACATTTAATTAGAGTGACTTACAGTTTCAGAGGCTTAGTCCATTATCATTATGGTGGGTGGGGTTCAGGCAGGCATAATGCTCGATCAAGAGCTGAGAGTTCTACATTTTGATCCACAAGCAACAGAACTGTCTCTACACTGAGTGTAGCTTGAGCATAGGCGACCTCATAGCCCACCCTCATAGTGACAAGCTTCCTCCAATAAGGCCACACCTACTCCAATAAAGCCACACTTCCTAATAGAGCTACTCTTTTGGGGAGGGTATTTTCTTTCAAATCGCCATACACCCTATGTTCCTTTGAGGTCCTGGATCCCCAGGTTTACTCCCTGTGGTTTTTTTTTTCTATTCTATTTTTTTCTGTTTTCTATTCAGCTGATGACTGACCAACACAGGCCAAGGTTCCTGGGAGTCTTTTCTTCCCTAACCCCTGCCAGAATCCCCTACCTCTCCCAAAGGACACTGCTCCCATCAGTGGCCTGAGTTATCTTAAAAGACAAATCACACATGGGGCTCAGCAGTTAAGAGCACTTTCTGCCCTTGCAAAAGACCAAGGTTCAGTTCCCATCACCCATGATGACTCATAGCCATCTGTGACTTTAGTTCCAAGGGATCCGATGCCCTTTGCTGACCTCTGTGAGCACACAGGCATGTCAAAGACCCACACATGCAAAATACAATAAATAATTCTTTTTTAAAACAGGAGAAAAACAAAGGACACCAGCTTCTTTTAGTCTCACATGCCAGTCACGTGCACAAGCTGTCACGGGACTCTTTGCTCCTTTATAATAAAACTCTTTGAAAGAATGTGAACCCTTCTCTGCCACTTCCTCTCTGGATATGTCTACCATGTATGTCCTCATCATGGGAGCAAGATCGCAGTGATTCTGACCTGCATTGCTCCTCGGTCCCAAAGGTGGGGAACACTCATTGCTGCCTTGTTCCACCCGTGGCAGCTGTCTTCCCAGACACTAGTGTTTGGCCTTTGGTTACCTGAGGGTCCCAAGACCTACCTCAGTTCTCAACACAGGTTTCCTTTCCCTTCCATGCCACCCACTTTACATCCTATATAGACATTCCCATTGGCCTTTGTCCTGTGAGCTCCTATCCTTTTAGGTCTTCTTCCAGGGGACCATGGTCCCATTGCCCACATGCTTGACACCACATGGCCTGCCAGACCCAGGCTGACCCACCTCCAGCTCCCCCGACACCCTCACTAGCCTCCTCCCCTGGTTCTTGATCTGACTTTAGAGTCACAGTAGGGTCAGACATGGCCTGGATGACAGCCACTGAGATCATGGGACCCCTAAATACAAGGGGACACTTCTGTTTTGGCCACACAGATACTGTTTCCTTCTGGGTAACTGTTCAACAATACCAAGTTATAATATGACTTCCACTCTCATCCAACCAAATGCTATTTAATTAACTTCTATAAATTCTTTGAGAATTTCATACACAGACATACAATGTATTTGGACCACATACTATCTCCACTCCTTCCCCTAGCCTCTCAGTTCTATCTGACCTCCCTGTTTCCCCTCACAACTTCATTTCTTTTTTTTCTTTTTAATAACCCACTGGGTCCAATTTGGACTGAGTCAACCCACCAGGATCCATGTCATAAAAATAAATAAATAAATTGAAAAAAAAACCACCTGTCTTTCCCTCCCCCAACAGCCTTGACTATGAAGAGCTCCTCAGCCAGGGGTGGGGACTGGTGAGCCCCTTCCTCCTAAATACTGTTTTTAAATTAAGTTACTTGAAATATCAAGGGACTTTCAGGGTTGGGGAAGTTCCTTGTATCTGGCAGACTGACAACGATGGTTTGCCAGTATGACTCAGATCATTGTAGAGGCTTAAACATCATAACACATGATTGTCCTTTAATTGTGTGCTGAGCTGGAGGTAAAAACCCAAGGTCTGTAGCACCTGAGGCAAGGTCTCTAACACTGAGCTACACCTGGCCTGCAAAAACCGCACTGTCTCAAGGTTGACACCATATCCAGGGAACAAGGCTCAGGTAACTCAGGTTCTGGTTTCTTTTCAGTGCATCCCCTCAGCCATTGTGAGCTTCGCTGTGGGGAAGAGAAACGTCAGTGCGGTAAGTTAAGCCTTCGGTGAACCCTCCTCTGCAGACTTGGAGACCCCACAGCACTGAGCTGTGGGAAGCGGATGTTCTCTTGATTTCTTTAGTATTTTTTAAAGAAGGAAATGCCTCATGCTTTGTTTTCTAGATTCCCAACTTTCAGATATTGTTTGTCTCCACGTTCGCTGTCACCACTACGTGTTTAATCTGGTTTGGATGTAAACTGATCCTGAATCCATCAGCAATAAACGTGAGTCACTGGAAGGGGACATGGGTCCTAATATGCTTTTACCTGAGTCATGTCTTCCTACTGATGTCAAATGCTGCTCCCACTGAGCAGGCGTAAGCCCTGGTTAGAGATCCACTGGAAATGTGTTGCTCTTGCGGGCAAGTGTTGAGGATTGTTGCCTATGTTTCTAAAGGAAAGAATCATCTCTGCTAACTTCCGAATTTTTTCCATAGGGCAAACCTATTGATAAATGACATGCTAGTGTCTGTTTCCTAACAGTGGCGAGCCTGGGATGCAGGAATAGAGCATGTACTTCTAATATGTGCAGGGCTTCACATTTTAGCCCATTACCACAGGTTAAAAAACAGCAACATACTACTGTATTTTATCCAATCTATGATGCTGTTTATAAGGCATTGTGTCATTTTTGCACTACTGAGAAAAATGGGAAAAGATTACATAAATTGTGATACTCAATGAGAAAAAAACTCACCAAAAATAAGGATGCACTGTCTACTCCTGTGAGAACACACAAAAATTCAAGGAACACCCAGGCTGGTGTGTATAAAGGAGATGCAACTGACTGGACATTGTGATTATTGAATGCATATAGTAAGTTTTTGGATATGAAAACAAATATAAAACTTTAATTGTGCCACAAAATTGAATATATTCTCTAAACACTGATGCCCTATAGAATTAAATGTATAGAGCTGTATATGTTAACACATACCTGTTATCCCAGCCCTTAGGAGATAGGAGGAGGACGATCAGGAGGTCAAGGTCAACCTTGGCTGTGTAGTTAAGTTTGAAAACAGTCTGGGTTATATGAGACCATGTTTCAAGAAACAAACAAAAAACAAAACCCTTACCAACCAAGCAAAACATATAAAGTTCCTGGGAATATGCCTAACAAAAGATTAAAAACTATGGCACATATTTTTCATAAGTATTTTACTTTATGTGTATGGGTGTTTTACCTGCATGCATGTCTGCCTGGTGCGGTGCAAGTGGAGACCAGGAGAGGGTGAATGCCGCGTACACATCCAGAACAAATAGCGGGTAAGACCATGAGGCAATGCAGTTCAAGTCTGTGTAGGATCTGGTTCAGTGGAACACAAAGAAGGAAAAATGTCCCACAGGCAAAATACTAGAAAGCAATCCTAATAAAGGGTAGGCTGGGCATGGAATCACAGGAACAGTCATAGCCAGGCAGTCCAGAGTCACATCATATTGGGGGCTTCAGGCTGTGGTCTGGGTTACAGCGAGGGCTGAATTAGCCAGATGGACCTCTTACCTCTTACCTGCCACACAGATGAAGACTTGAGTGGTGTGGGTGCAGCTACGAGAGGCTGCTCTCTCCCAAGCACAGGAGTACCCTGAGGGTGGGAGTAGGAGATACAGAAGAGACAGAGGCTGCCTTCAACACACTAGGATCCCTAAGAGAAATTGGTGCCCGAGGAGGAGGAAACCACACAGCAAGGTAGCTCAGCACATGCCCAGAGGGACTCTCTGATGACAGCTGCGGGCCCTTTGGAGAACTGTTTGATCCTCGTATGCATCTTCTTAAAATGAAGACATTGCATCGCCCCAAGTGCAAATCTTGGAGAAACACTGACAGGAAGCATGCATGAGGGACTGGAGTGATGACTCAGCAGTTAAGAGCACTGGCAATGGACCAGCAGCCCCAACCTCACCTGGTACTTACATCTGCAAAACTTCAGTCCCACCTGGCCTAGGTGTCAGACTCTGTAAGTAACTAGGCTTTCCATGGCCCCAACCACCCTAAGACCTGATGGTTATTGAGCCAACAGTATGAGCTACCTGGGGTAGGTAGAACCTGAAGAACACAGTCTTTGGGCCAGTCCTGCCCAGAAACTATGTCCAGGGACATCCATGCAAGGGGTGAAATAGCTATGAAGTGGACAGACATTCAGGAACATGGCTCCATCTGTGTGGGCTGTGGTACACTGTCCTGTAGGCCCTTCCCCAGATCTCTACTAAGTGCTGGGAAACTTTTGGGGTCTATATACTGCTTTCCTTGTTGGTAGGACTCAGCTATTCTTGCTCTCTACCCATCTCGTGGGTTGGCATGATAGCTGATTTTGGTTGTCAAGTTGAGTACATCTGGGACTAACTAAAACCCAAGCAGCTGGGGGCAGCTGTGAGGGGTTTTTCTTAATCAGATAGCTTGAGGTGGGAAGATGCACTCTAGCCCTGGGCCACACCTTCTGACATCAGTCTACACAACAGACATGGAATAAAGCATGGCTTTTTGCCCACTGGCTTGTCCCATTGCTGAGGATCCCTTTGTTCATATTAGAACCTACTTTTGGGGGATTCCAACATAGACCAATGGCCAGCACCTCTCTAGGATTCTACACTAGAGACTGGACTAGTTTCACATGACTTTTCCAAAAGACACACAAAGAATCATCTAATTACCCCAGATAGAAAAAAATATTTACAGACCAAAGAAACAAGCTCAGTTTGGTGAACCAGTGAGTTAGTTCATCGGTGTTACTTACAGGAGCAAGGGTGACCTCTTATCTAAGTGTGGGGTGGGGGAGGCTCAGAGGGAATGTTTGTAGGGCAGATCTCACAAGGTCTCCTGTGTGTTTGCTTCAAGGTGGTGGTGCTCATGTTCAGGGTATCGAAAACAGCTACTCTTTAACTTGCTTTTGGAAGGTGAGATAGCATTATATGAAATACTCACTTCTAGACTGTGCCTTGATCAGAGTTACTCCATTTTGAATGGAAGTGACAAGAAACAATAACTCAATCTACATCTTGTTTACACAAATAAGAAAACCCACCATTTGCCAAGATATGCAAACTGGTTAATGGTAAATGAGCTGGTAAATGACACCTGGAGTATATCAGCTACACCAGGCAAATGAGCTTTACAATCCTACTAGATGGAACCCCTCACTGGGGCTATAAAAGAAGGAGCACCCAAGACCAAAGTGTGGAAGGTACAATCACTTTGTCACTTGTCATGAGACTTGCCAAGACTCATTAACTGGCACAGGAAAGAACTCTAGCCTCATCCCTGTGTTCCAGCTTAAGCATAGTCTCTTCTGCCAACCACACCAGCCCACTTCAGACTGACCCTTGGCCCTTGAAACTGTTCCACTTCAAACCCCTCCCAGTCCTATATTGGACACCCTTTTGCCTGTGCAGCTCTGCAGTTAAGACTTCTGATCCAGCCACTTAGAGACTTCTCACACCTGTGTCAACTCTGCCCAACTTCAGAACCTCAGTTTCTCCAACTTCACCAGTTGTAAAGCCTGGTAATGCACTTGGTTACAGGTTTTTGCCTCAGCTCTGCTATAGTTTGCCCTACATTTCGATGAAAATTCTCATTTTCATTGCTATTTGGCTCTCCTTGCCCCTGAAGATCTGAGGGAGGAGGGACCAAGCTGTGCTTGTTTACCAGTACTCCTTAGCCTAGCCCCAGGGGTGACTGGGCATTACAGAGGGACTAACATATTTTCCTCTGGCTCTGTGCCCATTGGTCTGGCAGGGCTGGGTCTACAAGGCGGGCTGTCTTCAGTTGCAGCCACTCTGCTTGGAGCTCCTGGAGAAGCTGCAGTCCCTGAGACAGTCCACTCTGACCATCATAGGCTCCTCTTGTCCAAGAACACACGTCTGTGAATTGTCACTGAATTGTCATTCTCCTCTAGTATCCTGACTGTTCATCATCAGGATCCCAACGAAGCAGGCACATGGAATTATTTTTAAATACCATCCACATATTATTGATTTCTGATATCGTTACACTATAACATGAATACATAGTCAGAGTGCATTGATTTGTTGACATTTACCAAGGCTCACCATGTAGCAAAGTGGATTTTTCTTAGTGTTCCATAGTAGTTATCAAAGAATGAATGATCTGTTTTATTTACACAGAGAATTGCATTTGCTTTTTTAAATGTTGGCTTTATTACTATCTAGATTTGGTGAGGGCAGCAGTTCAGGAGACACCATTGAAAAGACAGTTATTGCCCTCACAGATTCCAGAGCAGGGGGCACCCACACCATCATAGCCACCTACATAGCAGTAGGGCAATGTAAAGGCAGAGGTAGTGATGGGGAAATAGGCAAGCATCTCCATTGTGGCCTCCACAGAAAGGGATAGATCAGATGGTTCGGTGAACCCCCCCCCCAAGCCTTGTATTGGCGGTTTCTGGAAACTGCACATAGAGCTTAACAGCTATGAACATTTGTATTCACGTTTTGTGTGTGATTGGGGTGGGAGACGTAGTTCAAGGGCTTGATGTAAGAGGCAGTTTTTCTCCAAAGGTGATAAAAAGTAGTTTATCTCAAGTAAGATAGAAGTAACCAAAGCCCAGAAACACAAACTCAGGTTACCTTGAATGACATGTTCTGTTGTAGAAGAGGTTATATAAACCTTTATAGACCCAGAATAAAAGAAAGTCCTAAGCCAATGCATTTACCAGATACACTGGTGTGGGCATCAGGTAGGCCAGCGATGGAGGAGCGAGAAAGTCACTTTGCAGATGTTATAGCATATTTAGCTTTATGGTATTGGAAGCTAGAGGTCTTTTAAGTACACATTCCAAATATTTTCCAGAGGAGTCACGGAAACGTTAGATCAGAAACAGGTATTGATAGTGAGTGGTTTTCAGGGACTAAAGACAGGCCCACAGCTCAGTTCTCCACAACCATGAAGCTCTAGGTATTCAATCAGTGTGAGAGATCTCCAGCCCAGATGTGACATTGAAACAGAGAACTTTGGCTTTCAGGCCCAATGGACTGTGGCGTGTCTTTGCATAGCCATTCACTAAGAGTAGTTTTAAAAACAAGAACCTGGGCCAGTGAGAAGGCTTAGCAGATACAGGTGCTTGCTGTCAAGACTGATGACCTGAGTTCAAGCCGTAGGACCCACAGGTGGAAAAAAATAGCTTGACTGCTGCAAGTTGTCCTCCAACCTCCACGTGCATGCTACTACTGGCGCCCCCACCCCATGAATAAATTTAATTATCAAAAAGTTTAACAATGTACACATAGAGAGATTGAAAGGTAGAGAGAGAGAAATCAACCGGACTAAAAACAAGACCCACATGAAAGAGGGACAGTACGTTGCCATGGCTCTCAGGCCTATGACAAGGAGAGTAGAGCTGGATTAGCCAGCTGAAGGAGGATGGTAACTTTCCCAGGGAAGGGATAGTGTGGCTGAGGCACACGTTTCCTTTGCAGATTAATTTCAACCTCATCCTGCTCTTGCTGTTGGAGCTCCTCATGGCAGCCACGGTGATCATCTCGGCACGATCCAGTGAGGAGTCCTGCAAGAAGAAGAAGGTGGGTCTCCCAAAACTACCTCCTCATGCCCCTGAGCTGGGCCTGGCCGTGGGAGACCATGGGTGGGAGGGGACAGGACAGGGAGACTGCTGGCTGAGCCTAGGGGGTGATGGTACAGCACCACTGCCTGCCTAGTGTCCTTCCCGTCTGTACTGTCTGCAGGACTGTCACTGGAAGACCAACTCTGAGAAAATGCTGGTAAGCTCCAATTTCAGTGATTAGACATGTCCATAGATGCCTGCACTTGAACTGTTCCTCCAGACTGAATGGCTGTGACACTGAGGCTTTTAGAAATACAACTCCTGATATGGCAACCGGCACCCATACCTAGCATTCTATGGCTCCATAAGGCTTTCCTTCTTTCTAGGGTTCCATCTCAGATGGCACCAAAATTTTGGATGAAGTGACTTTTCCTGCTCGGGTCCTAAAATCCTACTCCGTAAGAAAAACCTCCATCTTCCCTCTCTTCTTTTGCTTTGACACAGGATCTGGCTATATTGTCTAGGTTTGCACTGAACTATCCACCCTCCTGACTCAGCCTCCCATGTGGTGGGTTACAGTATGAGCACCTCAATCACAACGCTGGGCTGGCTTTCCTAATGAGTGGGGTAACTCCATGTCCATCCCCTTCGGGCTCAGTTCTGCCCATGAGCCTCACTGTGGGTCAGGTGTCGGCTCCCACCACCATCTACCTCCTTAGCATTATCTAGTGGTCTCTCCATGGTCAATGTGAACAGACCAAAGAAGGGGCACCTACTGAACCCACGGTCTGTCCTGGGGAGATCTCCTTCTGTACACTGCGCTCTGAGACTTCCAGGGTGTCTCTTCTCTCACCATGGGGTCAGACCATTGGTGTGGTGGACTACCAAGGTTATTGTGTCATTTTCCTCCTAGGTGGTAGAAGTAATTGCTGGTGTCTCCGCTGTCCTCGGAGGGGTGATTGCTCTAAATGTAGATGAAGCTGTCTCGGGCCCACATCTCTCAGTGACATTCTTTTGGATTTTAGTGGCTGTGAGTACTTCCTGGGTAGTCACCTTTTCTATTTATAGTTAGCTAGACACCACTGCAGCCAGTCTTGAGCATCCCTCTTTAGACCCTGCATGGCTGGATTTTTTTAGCACAATGTTGGTACCAGACAGGAAAGCACACAGGAGAGCCCCCTCCCCCAAAGAATATGGGAACCAAGGATTAAAAGTATTTGCATGAAATTTTATCTTAACTGCTACCGTTATATTACTTTCATATTTTTCTAAGAAATCCAATTATTTTGCATTAAATGCTGCTATGATAAACATTTAGCACAGGTGTGGGAAATGTGTGACTCTTGGCCACTCTTTTAAATGTGATCCATTTGCCATTTAAAGCATTCTAATTTTACCCATGTGATTTAGTATCTTAACAATGTTTTGGGCTCATGACACTCCTCAGAACAGCCAGACTAGAGCAATTCTTCCACAATCATTATTTCTACACATCTCAAATCTACTCTAAAACCACTATCCATTGTAGCTTGTGTTTCCAGATGTTGGCTAACGTGGTCATTTTGCACCATGGCACTAGTGAGCTGCCATTGGCCCTTGGTTTGTCCCATTCTGTTTGTCTGGCTAGGTGGGCTTTTGGATTATGCTCTTTCCATCTTACAAAGGTGAACGGGATACAATGAGCATCTTCCACCTCATCCATGGGCTTCTGAGCCAGAATTGGGCTCTGGAGCCGCCCAGGGGTCACATCCTTGGCTTGGCTGCTTGCCTTCTGTTCTAGCTTGCTTTCTAGTGCTGTGATAAAACAATACAGCCAAAAGCACCTTGGGTTTATTTGGCTTACACTTCTATGTCAGTCCTGTGTTTACACATCTGCTTCAGGTCCTGCTCATGCAGCCACCTCTTGTCCCCTCTTCTTCTGTCTTCACTCACCTTTTCTCTAGGGCCCTTGACAAGTGCAGACTCCTTCTTGGTGTATCGAGGCCCAGGTATCCTGGGGACAGTGCTTCTGTCCTGGGACCTGGGCATTTCCTTTACATTTGTTTACATGGAAAAGAACTTTTGAGCTGGGAGATAGTCCAGGAGCTCCTCAGGCTCTTTAGGGTCCTTGGAACTCCTGGGCCAATGGCCCAGAAAGATGACCAAAGGGCTCACTAAACTCCTTGCCATCTCTACTGTCCTTGCTTGCCTGGAGTTTGGAAAAGACATTTGGTATCCAAAGGAGGAGCCCTACAGCTCCCCCAGCCAAGAATAGACAGACCTTCCTGTCTCATCTTGAAGAAGAACCCACCTAACCCCATAAAGGCTTGTGTGCAGCTGTGGGTCCATGTCTCATAAAAGTCCTCAAAGATGCCAGAGGTTAAGGGAGATACCTGTGAATAGTGACTGACAAGGAGGTACAAGGAGAACTTTGTGTCCTAGATCACAACGCAGAAATTTCTCTTTATATTGTTTTTGGGACCCCTAGGCCATGCTGCAGATAGATCCACATTTGCTTGTGTTACACTGTGCTGCCCAAGTATGTAGCATATCAAGTGACCAGGCTGACAGCAGAGAACACAGAGCACAGAGATGACAGATGTCAGGAAGGTCATTCCAGGGGACTTGGAGACTTGGAATGCCACTCTGCCATTCTTGCAGCTTTTCTGCAGGAGCTGTAAATGTTTAAACAAATGGCTGAAGAACAAGAAGCTACCAAACCCATGAAATCCTACCCTGAGCCCAGGCCACTTGCGGCAGCCCTGGCTTTCCTTCTACTGGATAGAAGGGTGAATGTCATCAGAGCAGGAGAACAAGCTGGCTTCCTGGACACCCATCTCTAAGACTTTCTCTTCTTTCCCCAGTGCTTTCCAAGTGCCATTGCCAGCCATGTGACGGCAGAGTGTCCCAGCAAGTGTCTGGTAGGTGAGGCCTTCTGTGGCGCCAGGGTTCACACTGGGTGTGGCTGAACAGGGGTTGAGAAGGAGAGGCCCCCAGGGGCCAGTGGGAAGGGCCAGTGCAAACACCACTGCCCTGGAGAAGGACCCAGGGGCCTGGCTACCCTGTCTCTGAAAACAAGACGTAAGCACTTTTAGGTTTGGAGGCCAGAAATTCCTGTTGCTGAGCAAGGGATGAAGGAAGAGATCAGTCCTTTAGCCTCATCCTGCCTCCTGAAGGGCTGGTTAGATGTTAGTAATTGGTCTTTGGGCTAACTGTTGTGCAAATGAGCATCCAGTGCAGGGCTGTATGATCCTGATACATGGAGAAGGTTAGAACAGACCTTAGAAGAGTGGGAGAAGTGAATCGCACACAAGAGCTGACAGTTTTTCATCAGGTTAGATGGTTGCATGTGAAATTCAAAAACTTGAAAGTCATGCATAGCACTGAGTGAATGAGCAATTTGTCTGGAGCCCCGTAGTGGTCCAGCCTCGAAGACTCCCAGGCAGGTAGGTGCTGGCCACACCTACTACCCAAGCATGTCCGTTCTCTGCCAGGTGGAAGTGCTGATTGCCATCAGTAGCCTCACATCCCCACTGCTCTTCACTGCCTCTGGATATCTGTCCTTCAGCGTGATGAGAATCGTGGAGATTTTTAAAGATTACCCACCAGCCATCAAAGTATGTATCCATTTGATTTGGAAACTCTTTGAAAACAGAGCCAGTTACTGATAGAGTCTGGGGAGATGGCTATGGGGCATCTGCTGTTTTCCTGACAGTGGCCAGGACAACCGGACACCCACCTGAACAAAGTGGCTTTGCCTAGTTTGCTCTGGGTGGGGAAGGTTTATGTGGAGTGATGTAGGATCTGATTTGCTTCCTCCATGTTGGTTCTGCCCCCACGGGCGGCTGGGCAGCTCTGCTCTGGTTTCTGCCCACCGCTTTGTTTTGTTTTGTTTTTGTTTGTTGCCCCCCCTCCCCAACTGTCTTAGTTCAGCCCTGTAACAGGCCACACTTCCTTCCCCATGACTGGCTTTCCTCTGTCTTCCGAGCACCCATGTGCATGAGTCCAGTCATCATGTTACAGCCCGTGGGATCTCTGTCAGACCTGCACTAAGTTCTAGAAAGATCTGAGGATTGCAGGGGTTCTGACTCTGTAGCTTTCACATAGGATGTCACCAAGGGAGACTCCTCTGGGGACTCCCAGCACATTTCAGGACTTCTTCAGGCTCAAGAGTATGCATGCAGCTGGATTTGATCTTAGATGCTTGGCACTTGTTTCCAGGATGAATGATCCCCCTGTTACCCCACTGGCTCCCAAGTGCCCTGTGTTGCAGATCATTTTTTTTAACTTTCTACAGTGTTTGATAAACACCCAGAGGGATCAGAACTCTCCTGTACTTTTTCATTAATCTGTTCAAGTGTTGCCCCACTGACCTGACTTGTCCCTAATGATGGGAACAGGGTTATTTCCAGCTGTCTGATGTTATGAATAGCTCCTGATGACCAGCCTATGTGCACATTTCATGTGAATCTGATGGCCACCTGTAAGAGAGACTACACAGACAGCAGATATATCTGGACTCTTATATCCTCTCCAGAAAGCTTCCTAGCATGGGTTTTCCAGAGCAGGGCAAAGCCACAGATCACAAATTTGATCTTTCTCAAGATGGTTCACTTGTTGAAACCACATTGGTATAAAAATCCTTGTTTCGATGGGCAGTGGTGGCACACACCTTTAATCCAAGCACAGAAGGCACAGAAGGCAGGCAGATCTATGTGAGTTAGAGGCCAACCTGGTCTATAGAGCAAGTGCCAGGACAGGCTCAAAGCTACACAGAGAAACCCTGTCTCAAAAAACAAAACAAAACGAAATCCTTGTTTCTCTCAGTCCTTTGACACACTTTCTCACAGACTGTGCTCCTGCCTGCAAGGTCCCCTCCTTACAGGTCACCATCTGCTCCAGCCTGTCACTGTATACTGAGACCACCCTGTGCTGATGATAGAGGCTGTAGACCTGCCTCCTTCCGTTTCTGACAGGAAAGCTCCTCACTGTGGGACACACATAGCTTTTGCTCTTATGAGTGAATTTCTATTTTAATTTTTGAGACAGGGTCTCATTGTATAGTCCAGGCTAGTCTTGAACTTGAGATCCTCCTGCCTGGGCCTCCTGAGTGCTGGGATCATAGGCTCACATCATCATATCAATCTGCACTATGTCCTTTATGTGTCAACATTTAGTTGCTCTAATTTAGTGGGCTGATGCTGAATGGCATCTCTCTGGTTGCTTTGTGGATATTTCCGAAGCATTCTTTGCTATGTGAAGTGCATTCATCACCACTGGCCCCTGGGCTCTCAGGACAAGGACTCTTGCCCTGTCTTCTTGCTCTGTCTTATTGCTCTCCCTCACCAGCAACTGGCATTCAGGTCTCTTTGCTGGTAGGTCAGGGCCCGTGACTTTCCTTCAGCCAAAGGCCCTTCAGAGTCAATCGTACCAATCTTAGGAACGTGTGTCCTGCAAATATATAATGAAAGATTTTGGTCTCCTTTGTACACCCTCAGCACGAGCCACAGGAGTCTCGAGTGTTCTTTAACCTCCCCGTGGTTGTTGGATTGGAGGGGTGGAAGGGACACAGCCTGGCTCCTTTTTATGCTTACTTGTTAAATGCAAGCCAGCAGAATTGGTTGAACTGGGATGTTCTGATTCAGGTAGCTGAAACAAGAAAGCATGTTTGGATTGCTAGGGCTCAGTGGTCAAGGGGGTGTTCTGACTCTGTGGAAACCATAGACACAGGGAGAATTTGCAGGAATCTGCCTGGGGACCTGCTAACATCTTGGTCTTTCACTGTAGTCCTATGATGTGCTTCTCCTGCTATTGCTGCTAGTGCTGTTGCTTCAGGGGGGCCTCAACACTGGTACAGCCATCCAGTGTGTGAGCTTCAAGGTCAGCGCCCGGCAACAGGCTGCAGCCTGGGACACCCAGACTTGTCCCCAGGAGCGCCCAGCAGGGGAGGTGAGTGGCCTACCTTCCCAGGATGCCTCATCCTGGGTCCTTGTGAAGTAGTGGACCCCTCTTCTGAAGTCCTTCAATATTTGTTGTGACATTTTGTGGTTCTTTTTTTTTTTTTACTTCATTTGAAGTTTTAGACACCCAAGAAAAATCTTGAAGAAATAAAGTTTGAACTAGGTTACTTTTTAAATGACTAAATGAGTACAAACCCAGTCATGAAAAAAATATCATGATCATAGTGGCTTCACAGACATAAAGAAAGCCTTCCAAAGACTCCCACAGAAGATGCCAAACTCTGCAGGAAAGAGCTGCCCCTGCCTGGCATGTGGGACTCCCTGCAGCTTGACATTCCTATTCTGTAGTCAGTGTGGTGGAAGTGGCCAGTCCATAGTTATCTGGACAATAATCTTCCTGCCCCCATCCCATCCTAAGTTCTGATGCCCTCACAACTGAAGTTGGGCCTGCTAATATCTTGAGTCATCTGTCCCTGCAGTGTCTCCCTGGACAAACTTGCCCACTGCCATCAAGGAAGTGACCACAAAGTACTTGGTTGTTCTGTACTCAAGGAGATGTCCAGGCAGGTCCTGCCTCACAGGTCTTATCTTTGTCTTGGGCTAAAAGAAGTCCACCTGGGTTTGTGTCCTGACCAGCAGGCCATAGAGTCAGATGAATAAATTGTTCTTGCCAGCTTCCAGAACTGTCCATCTTTGGAGTTCCAAATACTTGTGCAAGCTAGAATTACCCTATTTTGTATCTGGAAGCATTTGTCTGCCTTAGTTGTCTGTTTCTTTTGCTGCCAGATGCACACCCATTTAAGGCCTACCCCACCGGACACTACAGACACTGTAGGAGGGCTGCAGACATTTCTGAGATGCTCTGTCCCTTTTCTAGCATCCTCTCTCCTCAGTTCTTTGACACATAAAGAAACTTGCATACAAAGATGCGACACAAACTGAGCTGAATCTGCCTTCCTTCCAGGTCTGGCCCTGATGAGGTAACACTGTCCTTGTCTCTTATCACAGATGTCCAGAAGCCCCCTGAAGGAGTTTGACAAAGAGAAAGCCTGGAGAGCTGTGGTGGTGCAAATGGCCCAGTGACTACAGGATAAAGAGACTGAGTCTTGGTGTCTGTCTGGCCCTGGTGTGCCCAACCATATGGACTCTAACGATCCTGCAACAACTGCTTGCTAACATGCTCCTTCCCTCCTGTGAGGGCAGCCCAGGCTGCAAGGTGGTTTTCACTACCTGTAGTAGTTTAACTTTGGAACAAGCAAATGTTGAAGGTTGCACCCTGCTGTGTGGGTCAGTTCTTTACTTCTCAGGTGACCCTTATTTTCCAACCCTCTTCACTTCTGGTTGGCTCCTACTCACTCACTCACTCACTCACTCACTCACTCACTCACTCACTCACTCACTCACTCACTCACAGGATCTGATGTTTTGGCCTTAGGGCGCTTCCCTGCCTCTGTGTGCTTGCCACAGTGTGGGGATGCTTTGTGAGAATCCCATTGGCTTTGATTAAAATCACAGCCAAGAGATGGCTTGTATACCGTCTCCCCAAACCCCAGAGGACTCCTGGATTCTCCCAGCTGACAAGAGCACCAAGGAATCCATAGTATTGGGTACCTTGTAAAACTGGGAACCATTTTAGGAATTGCTTTCCTGCTCATGCTGTCACTGAATCTGTTTGTCACGGTGGTTTTGTCCTTCCTCTGGGAGGTGAGCAGCAATGTCCCTTTACTGAGCTGGGGTGTGCATCAGTGGGTCCCACTAGAGGTGCATTGTATGCCCCCAAAGAGCTGACTGAGTCAAGGAGATGATGGAAATCCTTCTAGGCTTCTCGTTTCTAAGTGCACATGACTCTGCCAGGATTCACAAAAAGTGTGATCAGTCGTTATTTTTAGTCAGAGAAATGCAAGTAAGGCACCTGGAAGGTAAAAAGTACCAAGCAAAGCAGCCCCACTCCCAGCCTTGAGGAGTCCCTCTCCTGTCTTCATCTTCTGTAGCTGCAGAGGGCTGGGGCCTGCACCAAATAAATGCCCTGAGCGGTGCAGAGCCCTCTAGGCTTTGGGCCTACTGCAGCTCTGCCACGCCTTCTTGGGTGGGGAGCAAGTCGTCTGCTAGACCAGAGGCTTGACCATTCAGGGCCAGAATGAGGCAGCAGGGCCATTGCTTCTGGGCTTGCACTTTCTAATTTTAAAGAGCTTAAAAAAAACCAACTCTCATAAATGGGATCTAAAAATTGTCTCTTGTACACTTTTGTTTGGTATAGTTTAATATGCTTGGGCAATAAATGCTAACATGCAAATGTGGCCGTAGCCTCTTAAATGCTTCTGGGAAAAAACAAGGAAAAAACAAACCAAAAACCAGGGGTGAGAAATGGGACCTTAGAGTGGAGAACCACTCTTAATTTATTCTTTGATCTGTAAAGACTGGAGGTGGGGAGTAAAGACTGGGTCACCAGTCAGGGAGAAGCCTCCTACACCTGGGGAGGAAAACTTGTAAGATGAAGATGCCTTTAATCCAGTGGTTATCAACCTTCCTAATGCTGAGACATTTAATAAGTTCCTTATGGGGTGGTGATCTCCAACCATAAAAGTATCTCACTGCTACTTCATAACTGTAATTTTACCACTGTTATGAATTATGATATAAATATCTGATACACAGAATATCTGATGTGACCCCAACAAGGAGGTCATGACTCACAGGTTGGGAACCACTGCTTTAAAGCAAATGAAAATGATCTGAAGTTTGGGCTTTAAAACAATAACTCTGACAGAGAAGGAGAGCAAGGAAAGAGACATCTTGATATAGGGAGCCATTATCGGGTTATCAAGAAACCTGGCACTAGGGAAATTCCTAGGAATCCACAAGGATGACTCCAACTAAGACCAAGCAATAGTGGAGAGGGTGCCTGAACTGGCCTTCCCCTGTAATCAGATTGATGACTGCCTTAATTGTCATCACAGAACCTTCATCCAGTAACTGATGGAAGCAAATGCAGATATCCAATGCTAAGCCCTGGACCAAGCTCCCAGAATCCAGTCGAAGAAAGAGAGGAGCGATAATATGAGCAAAGGGGTCAAGATCATGATGGGAAAACCCACAAAAACGGCTGACCCGAGCTAGTGGGAGCTCACTGACTCTGGACTGACAGCTGGGGAACCTGCAGAGGACTGAACTAGGCCCCTGAACGTGGGTGACAGTGTATGGCTTGGGCAGTTTATGGTGCCACCATCAGTGGGACCAGGATTTATCCCTAGTACATGAACTGGCTTTTTTGGAGACCATTCCCTATGGAGGCATACCTTACTCAGACTAGTTACAGGGGGTAGGGCCTTGGTCCTGATGTCACAGACTTTGTTGACTTGCCATGGGAGGCCTCACCCTCTCTGAGGAGTAAATGGGGGGGAGTGGGAGGAGGGGGAACTGGGATTGGTATGTAAAATAAAAAAGATTGTTTAAAAACAATGATCATTTTCAACTTTAACATGAAAAATTCATTTGGAGACAATCTATTAAATATTTATTATTAAAATTGTTGAAAACCATGAAAAAAATGACTGATGAATGAATGGGTCTTCCTCAACACAGCCCAAGGTACCACATAGGGAGGCAGCCTGGGAACACCAAGGACACACAGCACGGGTACCCCACTAATGAACCTGAATACTAAGGCCATTCTATGTTCCTCTGGGCACAGAGGACTTACTTTGACCACCCTGGTCTAGAGGAGAGACACTCAGCTGATAAAGGAACTCTTTCAGCTGGCAAAGGGACTTCGGAAGACTCTCAGCTGGCAAAGGGACCAGGGAGAACACCTGCCTGGAAGGACCCTGGGACTCCATTCCCACCTCTGTGGAGACATCTTGTGGATAGCAAGGGAGCCAGGAGGGAGGAAGCCGAGGGTGGGGCAGGGTGTGACCCCCTGGTCTTTGTGACTTGGTGTAGCCTGAGTGCCAGAGTTGTCTGTGTGACCCTGACAGGTGCGTGGAAGCGCATGACCCCGGCGGGGGTAGCAGGCACTTGAGAGCTAACCTTGACACATGGCCCGCACTGTCAGGGGTCTTAGTCCTCGCCCCCGCCACCGCCACCGCCCCAGCACTGGCCACTCCTTGGACCACTGCTTGGGACTAGATACAGAACCAAGGCTCAGTGTGAGTGCCAGCATCTGCGTTCGGACTCAGTCAGCTCCTCGGGTACTGTCTGCGCGCCTCAGCCAGCGGACTCCCCTCCTGCGCAGCCGTCTGCAGCCCCTACTGCCTGTCCGTCCACGAAGCCCCACACCCCGAGTGGGGCGCCGCTCAGTACGCCGCAAGCCCGGCCACCAGCGCCACAGGTCTGCACAATGCACCGCGCAGCCAGAGCCGGTTGCCCGGGGCGACCACAGGACGCCCAGCCGCGGGACTAGGGGCTGGGGCAGAACAGCACGCGCTTCAGGGCGGGTCCCAGGTGAGCACTGTTTGCCCTTATTAGACGCTCCAGGCCTGTCCTCGCCGGAGCCCAGGTCCCCCTCCCAACCCGCGTTCCGAACCCCACCCCGCCCCCCTCCGATTGGAACCCCAGACCTCGCTCCTTAGAACGGCAGAACTTTCCCAGCCTGACCCTGACACCTGTCCACTTTCACCCCACCCCGCCTTTTCAACCTTCTTTCCCTTACCTTCCTACCTCCCTCCAAACTGCCTCCTCTCCCTGACCCTAAACCTGTGCCCCAATTTGTGACCTGTCTCCCTACCTTAACTTTCCCTTCTTAGTTCCAGACCTGTATTCCACCCCTGACTGGTTCTCCCACTCGGACCTCCCTAACTCTCCCCCAAACCCATCTCTTCACCCCGGATGGACTCACTTCCTTAACCCTGAGCTAGCTGTCTGCCCTACTCTAACTTACCCATTTATCCTCAAACCTGTCCCCCACTGGCCCTTCTTTCTATTTGACTTCTCATCCCTCAGCCTCCAGTTCATGACGTGTCCCCTTACCCCAGAGCTCCCTTCCAGACCTCCCTCCCACACTTTGGGCCTCAGAAACTCGCCCCTGAATCCCTGGGTATGTTTGACCCCTCCACCCTTGTCAGCAGGGGCCGGCGGCCAAAGGAAGCAGCTACACGAGGCGAGCATGGAGAATGGCGAAAGGAAGAAGCTGTCTTCCACTTCGTTGGATGAAGATCAGAAAGAAGAAAATAGTCCGTACCGTTTGTGTTCTGCATTTGCAGTCAGCCTTACTCAAAAGAGCAGGCATAGGCATGGGGATGAAGGGGGAGGTCCAGATTTTGCTGCCCCCCTGGGGTCCTGAGGCTTCTGAGGACTGTGAAAATCATAGTGTTGGTCTTGGGAAGGGAAGCTGTTCTGGTATAGAGGGCAGAGCCTTTTATCCAAGTGGACCCCTGCACTGGCCCTTCAGACATGGTTGGTGTTCATTGACCAATACCTAAATACCTAGAAGTAAAAGCACATGTCATAGATGGGTACACATTTAGTTTTAGAAGACATAATCCAGGCTTATCATTCGGGGCTCCCCATCTTCCACACAGCTGGTATTGGCCTTGCCACTTGGACCACTCTGTGAGTGCTACCAGTCTGTCTCTCTTACATCCATGATGGAATGTTTACTCCAGATCTTGGCCATCATTAATAGTGAGTCTTACTGGTATGCAGGCATTTCTTGTACATTCTGTCTACCAGTTCTGTGACAGATCAATGTATTATAAATACTCAAGAGGATCTGTGGCTGGCCATTTCAGTCCTTCTTTTTAAAATTTATATGTGCATTGGTGTGAGGGTGTCAGGTCCCCTGGAACTGGAGTTACAGACAGTTGTGAGCTGCCGTGTAGGTTCTCTGGAAGAGCAGCCAGTGCTCTTAATTAGCCAAGCCATCTCTCCAGACCTAGTCATTTCAGTCTTAATGATTACTTCCATAGTGTTATAGGAGTTTATTTGCTTGGTTTTATTTTTCTTTTTGTTTTTCATGACAGGGTTTCTCTTTGTAGCCCTGGCTGTCTTCAAACTCACTCTGTAGTTCAGAATGGCCTCCAACTCAGAGAAATCTGCCTGCCTCTGCCTCTATCTCCCTAGTACTGGGATTAAAGGCGAATTCTTCCACCACCCAATCCCTTTTCTTTCTTTTCTGAGACAAGGTCTCACCATGTAGCTCTGGCTATCTTAGGACTCTCTATGTAGACCAGGCTAGCCTAGAAATCACAAATACCTGCCTATTTCGGCTTCTCCAGTGCTGGAATTAAAGATGTGCATTTTATACCCTGGCTGGTCTAGAGCTCACTATGTATATCAGACTGGCTTTGAACTCACATAGATCCACCTGCCTCTGCCTCTGAAGTGCTAGGTTTAAAGAATGAAATCACAACTGCCCAGTCCGTGAATGTCTGGTTTTAATGAGGCCTTCTAATGATCTCCTTATTTATAATGAGAGCCCTTGATTTCCACCCACTTCCTTCCAGAAGGTATGACCCTTTTGTTTTTCTTTTCTTTTAGCGTCTTTGTCATTTCACTTCTTAAATCTCATGTCCGCCACCTAAGGGAGTTGAGGAAGACAAGGCTTGGTGCTCTTATCCCAAATTTGGATATTCAGTGACTCAGCTTCTGCCTGGCAGTGTCTCTTTGGGGTCCCCCAGATGTAGGTCTTCTTTGAGGCTATTCATTCTGTTGTCCTGGTCTTCCTGTTCATCCTTTTTCTATCTTACCCAGTGTCTTAATTCCAGAAGCTTTGTAATTAAGTACTCTGAACTTGTACTTCAAGGTCGCTTAGGTTCTCTTGGACTTTTGCTGGTAAATTTTAGGAACTGATTAACTTATATACATGTACATATCCCGGTAGGGCTGGAATTGTTGTTTATGTGTCAGTTTGGGGGTAAATTAACGTCATAATACTGGATGTTCTAAAGTAGGAACATTTAGTTATCTAACTTTTTTAGCAGCAATTTGTAGTTTTCATTGTACAAGTGTGCAGTGTGTCTTGCTAGATTTACTCCTATATAGTTGGTGTTTTTAAATGCTGCTAGAGATGACATTTTAATTTCACTTGTGTGTGTGTATGTGTGTGTACATGTTCATATGTGCATGCACTGTGTAGAGGTTGATGTCTGTCACCAAACCCAGAGTTCACCAGTTAGTTCAGCCAGACTGAATGGTTAGAAAATCCCAAGAATCCTCCTGGCTCTACCTCCCTGTGCTGGGATTACAGGTGTGAGGTATCATGCCCAGCTTTTATATGGATGGTGGGGACCAAACTCAAGTCTTCATACTTGCACAATAAGCACTTAACCCACAAAGCCATGTTCCCAGCCCTTGAGTTTCATTGTTTAATGATTCCTTCCAGAGGAACTACAGTTGATTTTCATGTATTGACTCGGCATTTAGTGACCTTGCTAAATATATTGACCATCTCTAGTAAGATATGGATTTTCCATATAAACAATCTACAAATCTTCTCAATCCTTAGGGTTTTTTTTGTTTCCGGTTCTTGCATTATTATATTGGCTAGCACGTCCAGTAAGACACTAGAAATGGTATATTAGATATTTTCATTTCCCTCCCCAACCTCAAGGGGAGAATACAATGTTCTATGAGCTTCAGAGGAAGTTTTCTTTCATGGCTACCTTAAAAAGTGTGTGTGTGTGTGTGTGTGTGTGTGTGTGTGTGTGTGTGTGTGTGTGTGTGTGTGTGTAGATGTCATAAGGAGACATCTGATCCCTCAGAGCTTGGATTATAGGCATTTGTGTGATGTCTTGTAACATGGGCACTCTTAACCACTAAGCCACCTCTCCAGTCTCTCCTTTTAATCAGGCAATTACCAACTGTTGCGGTATGTTTTCTTTGGCAGCTGTTGAGGTGTTAATTTTATTATTTTATAGATTAATGTGGTGGATTGTGCTAACAGCTTTTCTTTCTTTCTTTTTTCTTTTTCGTTCTTTCTGTTTTTTTGAGATAGGGATTCTCTGTGTAACAGCCCTAGCTGTCCTGAAACTAGCTCTGTGGGCCAGTAGACCAGGTTACCCTCAAACTCACTGAGATCTGCCTGCTTCTGCCTGCCCTGCTAACAGTTTTTCAAACACTAAACCAACTTTATATTCCTGGAATAAACTCCATTTGGTAGGGTTTAGAGCTTTTTTCTCCCTGTCACTGGATTTAATTTATGATTGTATTAGTTAGGGCTTGTATCTGTCATTATGAGAGAGACTAGTGTGCTCTATTTCTTCCTTGTAATGTCTTTTCAGGTTTTGGTGTTAAAGGTATAACCTCATGGTTTATATAATTTTTTTTTTTTTGGTTTTACGAGACAGGGTTTCTCTGTATTGTTTTGGAGGCTGTCGGTCCAGCCCGGCCTCGAACTCACAGAGATCTGCCTGCCTCTGCCTCCAGCACGCTGGGATTAAAGGCGTACACCACCAACACCCAGCTGGTAATATGTATTTTACATATTTCTTCTTCTTCAGTTTAAATTTTTCTTTTCCTTCCATTTTTTTAAGTTAATTTGCTTGCAACCCAACAGCTGTTTCCCCTCCTTCCTCTTTTCCTAGTACCTCCCCCACCCCTTCTCTGCACCCTCCCCCATCCACTCCTCTGCTATTTCAGAGAAGGGCAGGCCTCTATTGTTGGTTGTTTTTTACTCTTTTGCTCTTTCTCTTTGGGGGCCCACCACCTAGTTCCCAAATAAATACATGGAGGCTTATTATTACTTATAAATGCCTGGCCTTAGCTTGGCTTGTTTCTACCCAGCTTTTATCTGAAATTATCCCAACTACCTTTTGCCTCTGGACTTTTTCCTTTTCTTACTTCTGTATATCTTGCTTTCACTCTTACTCCATGGCTGGCTGTGTGACTGACCCCTATTGTCCTCCTCTCCTTGCTCCTTTGTTCCTTTTTCTCAGAGTTTCCTTCCTTTTTATTCTCTCTGCCTGTCCGCCCCACCTATCTGTTCTTCTTCCTTGCTGTTGGCCGTTCAGCTCTTTGTTAGGCCATCAGGTGTTTGAGACAAGCAAAGAATCACAGCTTCACCGAGTTAAACAAAAGCAGTGTAAACAAAAGCAACACATCTTTACATCATTAAACAAAGGTTACAGAGCATAAACAAATGTAAGACACCTTAAAATAACATTGCACAACAGGCCTCCCATGAATATCAACCAAACTTGGCATATCAAGTTGAAGACTGGACGAGGCAACGCATTATGAGGATAAGGATCCCAAAGAGTCAGACACAGCTCCTGCTCCCACTGTTAGGAGTCCCAGAAGAAGACTAAGTTAAGCATCTATAACATGTGCAGAAGGTCTAGGTCAGTCACATGCAGGCTTCCTGCTTGTTGGTTCAGTCTCTGTGAGCCCCTATGAGCCCAGGTTGGTTGATCCCATCATGTCTTTGATGCACTTGGACTTGAGTTTTGTGCATGGGGATAAATGTAGATCTATTTGCATTCTTCTACATGCTGATATCCAGCTAGACTAGCACCATTTGTTGAAGATGATTTTCCCCCCATTGTATAATTTTGGCTTCTTGATCAAAAATCAGATGTCTATAGATGTGTGGATTTACATCTAGGTCTTTGATTCAATTTCATTGATCCACCTGTCCTTTTTTTATGCTAATGCAATGCAGTTTTTATTAGCTCTGTAGCAGAGCTTGGAATCAGGAATGGCAATACCCAGAAGATTTTATTGTTCAGGATTGCTTTAGCTATCCTGTTTTTTTTTTTGTTGTTATTGTTTTTCCATATGAAGTTGAGTATTGTTCTTTCAAGGTCTGTAAAGAAATGTATTGAAATTTTGATGAGGATTGCATTGGATCTGTAGACTGCTCTTGGTAAGATGGCCATTTTTACTATGTCAATTCTACTGATCCATGAGCATCAGAAATCTTCTCATCTTCTGATATCTTCTCCAATTTCTTTCTTCAAAGACTTGAAGTTCTTGTCATATAGGTCTTTCACTTGCTTGGTTAGCATTACACCAAGATATTTTATATTATTTGTAGCTTTATAAAGAGTATTGTTTCCCTGACTTCTTTCTCAGCCTGCCTATTGTTTGTATACAAGAGGGTTACTTTTGTTGTTGTTGCTGTTGTTGTTTTTAGTTAATCTTGTATCCAGCCACTTCACTAAACGTGTTTATCAGCTTTGGGGGTTCCCTGATAGAATTTTTGGGGTTGCTTATGTATGCTATCATATCATCT